AAAAAAAAAAAAAAAAAGGCTGGAATGAGGCTCAGTGCAAAGGTCCTGGATTCAATCCTTAGTACTGGGAAAAAAGAATCTGGACTTTGGATTCAGACTGTATTTGAGCCTTGGTTCTGTTACTAACTAGACATGTGATAACATCACTGAACTTCAGGTTCTTCATGTGTGAAATGAGAAAAGAATATACTCTCACAGCATTGTTAAAACTGAATTAATATGTAGATTTAAAAATGCCTCATATACACATTGCCTGTACGTAGGAGGGGCTCATAAATGGGAACTAGAAAGCTTGGTGTGGCAGCAACATGTCTGTAATCCCAGCACTCTGAGAAGCCAAGGCAGGATGATCACAAACTCATTCCCAGCCTGGAAAATTTAGCATGACCCTGTATCAAAAATAAAAAGGGGCCCGGGGATGTAGCTCAGTGGACGAGGCTTGGGTTCAATTCCTAGCACTGAAAAAAAAGGAGGGGAAAACCACTGTTCTCATTTCGAATTCATTTTCAAGCCTCATCTTGCATCATCTTGATGGTGTACTTCTTGTGAAAAGCCCTCTGATAAAAGTTAAAACAACTATATTTTTACTTCTGTATAGCCCAGCACTGTGTCAGGTTAACTAATGCACTAGCTCCAATCTAATGTAGAATAGAAAAACAATTCTTGGCAACAAAGGCAAGGCAGGGGGCATCACAATCCCCGACTTGAAACTATACTACAAAGCTGTGATAAAACAGCATGGTACTGGCAAAGAAACAGACCTGAGGATCAGTGAAACAAACTAGAAAATGCAGAAACACCTCCAAACACACTTAGCCACCTCATCTTTGACAAAGGAGCCAAACACCTTTACTGAAAGAAAGATAGCCTCTTTAATAAATGGTGCTGGAAAAACTGGATCTCCACATGCCCAAAAATTAAAACCTAGACCCATATTTTTCACCATGCACTAAACTAAAATTGAAATGGATCAAAGGTATCAATATTAAAACAGAAACAGTAAATCTGCTAGAAGACAGTATAGAACTCTTGAAGGCACTGGTGTGGGCAAGGACTTTCTGAATAAAACTCTGATCATACAGGAACTATCACAAAAACTCAACACCTGGGATCTCATCTTATTAAAAAGCTTCTGCACAGCAAAAGAACCCACCAACAGAGCCAAGAGACAACCCACAGTGTGGGGAAAAAATATGCCAACTGTGCCTCAAAGGACTAATATCTAGAATATATAAAGAACTGAAAAATTTTAGACCTCCCCAAATTTAAAGACCCAGTCAAAAAATGGGCATCCGAAATGAATAGACACTTCTCAAATGAAATAGAAATGGGAAATAAATATATGAGAAAATGTTCAACATCACTGGTCATTTGAGAGATGCAAATTAAAACAACACTGAGACTCCATCTCACTCTAGAAAAATGGCTGCTATCAAGAAATCAACCAATAAGAAATGCTGGCAGGGCTATGTTGGGAGTGTAGACCTCAGCAACTACTGTGAAAATCAGTGTGGAGATTCCTCAAAAAACTACGATTGCAGGTCCCATTTGACCCAGCTCTTCCTCTTCTTGGTATCTTCCCAAAAGAATTAAAAGCTTCCTTGCACAGCGATATATGCACATCCATGTTTATAGTGGCACAATCTGCAATAGCTACATCTTAGAAACAGCTCAAATGCCCATTAACTGATGAATGGATAAATATGTGGTTTTTATACACAATGAGTTCAACTCTGCCATAAAGGAGGATATGCTTGAGACATTTTTAGCTAAATGGATGGACCTTGAGACCATACGCTGAAGTGAAATAAATCAGACGCACATGTTTTAAGTACCTCACTGTTTCTCTGGTGTGAGAAACCAAAAGTAGAAATAAGGACCAAAATGCATTTTAAATATTGGGAAATGGGGAAAATATGTTCAAATGAGACAGGGAACAAGGAAGGGGAGAGGAAAGGTCGGTCAACAAAAAAGAGAACAGAAGGAAAAAATGAAAACAAAACTTTTGTAAATAAGGAGGGGAAGAGGGGTCAGAGGGATGGGAGGGGAGGGTAATGGGTAAAAAGAAGCAAGATATACCATGCACAGGTAAATATTCCCTATGATGAATGGTAGTATGAGCATTTTAAACGTACCAATAAATGTTTTGCTTCAAAAAAAAATCAAATCTAATGTAGCTTGCAGTGAATTAGAAAATGTTAGTTCAAGCCAAGAGCCTTTTGCATATCAGCCCAAACCTGTGCCTCTCGCTGGGTGGGCTGTAAGGAAGATGGTTTGGATGGTGACATAACAGAATAGAGAGAGTGGCTGGTGCCATTAACCAGACTAAAGTTGCTGTCACCAAACAAACCTAGAAAACTTTTCATGTACAAAAGGGAGATGTATCTTTAACTTGGAGGATTATTTTTGCTATTACACTTGCTTTCAAGCACACTTGGAATAGTCTTTCTTCCATACTGGATACAGGACCAACTCACCTACATAACGAAGCTAACATGTTCATGATATTCTCTGTTTCTGAGCTAACAGGCTATGCATCAGTGGAATGGAATTGGACTGTTTTCACCTGTATTTCTTAAATGTTCCAATTGTGGTCATAAGCAAATATATCCAACCTTGCATACGCCAAAACTTTGCCACACCATTGTTAATTTCTATGAGGCTTTTCTTTTTTAAACATCAGCCTTCCCCTTTTCCAGTAGGTATATAGGTAGAAAAATAAATGAAGTCAGCACTCTTTATGTCTCACTAGAAGAAGCTGTGACTCAATATGGTGAGTGGTTATTTGCAAGGCTATAATTTTAATGACAGATTTTCCTAAAAGAAACCACTATAACATCTGTCCAAGTACTTCAAGGGAAAAGAAAAAATACATAAAGATTAAAAGTCTATTACTTCAACAGCACATTGCCAAACACAGACAACTAGGATAGATGCCAAGAGACCTTAAAAATAAACTCAAAAGATGCAACGTTCAAGTCAATCAAACGTGTAGGTTCTGCAAACAACAGAAAGATAGGTCCAAGAGCAGTTCTACTTGTGCATGATGGTAACTCAGGCTGTACTTCATCAAAGTTCATTCAGGTGTCTCCATCCGATAGGTATCCGAGCAGAAATGGTTTTCTCTTCTTTGCATGGAGATGTGTACATTGACTGGAGGAGCAGAGAATCTTCGAGAAGCTGATATAAGCGCAGCAGGCTCGGTTCCCCTTTGATAAAGTACTGAAGGCAGATTTAGTGGACTCAAGCTTTATCAGTTTCCCTAATGCATGCTGAAACAGACGAGTTACAGAATTTGTCATGCTAAGTATTTACAGCCATTTTCATAAAGTGAGCTCAGTAACCTGACGGAATAAAAAAGTTAGTTGTTAAAGTATTGTATAACCTTTTACAACTTGAATAAATCTGTGGATAAATAATGCTGACATTCAAAGCCCCTCAAACATACATTAACAAGAAAGTATTTGCCGCATGAAGAGGCACACGTCATATAAAACATACACTTCACAGGAGGGAGTCCTGCATAGCAGGAAAGTCACTACCACTACATAACAAATGGCTATGCCAACAGTCAAGGCTGCCCTAAAGGGTACAACATGGAAATTCCTTTAAAATCTCAAGGAGTATTTGCGATAGCACAGAACCCTTTTGGAGAACAAGTATGTCTTTTGTTTGAAGGATTTTTTGGTGGAAAATTTGAACATCACATATCACATTAAACAAAGTGACTTTCTATTTGGGTAAGATTTAAGGCAATGCTACTCAGACCTGAGGAAAAAAAATCCACAAGGGTGTGTATTGTTCTTCTGAGTCATTAACAGAATCAACATCAAAAAGTATTTCCTGTCCAAGTGTTCAATGCACCATTAGGTATTTTCAGCATTACAAAATAGAATCCACTTACATACTTATGAATATGAAATGGGAAATTTTTCTGTGCTCTTCCTTGAAAGCTCTAAAAATAAACTCATATGGCAGCTTAGGTATTTAATCTTAAAAATAACATGATAATACAGACAACTATACCCAGTTCACACAAAGGAGCCACCTTGCCATCAACGCTCTCGAGCATATTACTCTTACGACTGCCTTTGGTGTAGTTTGGATGATCATGGATTCATAAATTAAATTTTCACATCTACTACAGACTAACAAATGACAATTAGACATAGTAAGTTTAAAAATTTTACATTTTGCTCCTGTCTGGCTGCTCAAGGGCAGCAATTTAAATCGATATAAAAGCTTCTGACGACAAAGCTTGCTATACAGATAAAGTACATGATCAAAGATTAAGCAGCAATTAGATTTCTTATTTAAACTTATCTGCTATATTTACATATTTGGGAAGAGAGACCTCCGACATCACCATCCTCTTTACTCCTTTCTTGCCCTCTGCCCCCTCTCCATCTGCCCCAGCTCCTCCAAATGTAAATCAAGTGCCCTGAACTTTATACACCTGTACTTTGGCAAAGCCAGCCGGATGTTGACTCCTGCAGTCTTGGCCTGGAAGCAAAGCGCTAAGGTCTTGGAAGTCATGTGCGTCCTGCTCTCAGAACAGTAATGTATGGTAGTCAGTAAGTCTGTTCTTTCAGAGCAAGGGGTGGGGAGGACCCCGCACTTCACTCCCCAATCTGATCGGGGTGAGAACAAAATGCCACCAGTTCTTTGCACCACAGTGGGCCACCAGAGAAAAGGGAAAGAAAAAGGTCACGACAGAGGCAGCAGCAGTCAACACAAGTTTCCCAACAAAGGAACCTCTCCTCCCCGGGTTCCCGAGGCAGTAACGCCCCCTCGCCCCTCTCCCTCCCCCATCACGCACACACATATACACACACATACACATGCACGCGCACACACAAATTAATTCACATCACAAGAACTTGGTACTCTGGATAAGTGTCAGGTAAATATAAGAAAGAGTAAATCTGTCACTTTTTATACTTTAACTGAGACATAATGCTAACAAAACACACATCACTGTGAAAGTAACTTTCTAAAATAGATCCAGCCTACATAGTGCAGCCATCAAAACTTAAAAGAATAGTTTGCTCACAATCTGCCTTGTACAGGATATTTATATTCTTTCTATGCCATATAAATAGCATTTATATAGCTTACACATTCAGAGACATGCACTAGGACTTTTTAGGTAGTAGAAATTTCTTCACAATCACATGTGCAAATTATACAAATCACTAAGTATTAATAAGCTTAGGCTGGGCTGTGTCTCGTATCATCTAATGAATTTAATGCGGGTTCAGAATCATCCATAGGAAGAACCAGGCGTGTCCCTCGAATAACCAGCTCATGGTCTCCAAATGCAAGCTCCCGATCCAAGGCGTCTTCAGAGCTGTTGCCCATAAATCTCCTTGGGGCACCAGATGGTACTGATTCGGTGTTCACAGTAGAATCCCCGTATGTCAAACTGATATCTCCATCGTTCAGAATCAGATCAGAGTCATCATCTTTCAATTGCTCCTGGTTCTAAACAAAAATAAGGTTAGGAATTGTGAAGAAATTAAAGAACTACTTCCAATAGAGTTTTTACAGATCTGCTATTTAAACCTGTTCAGTGGACATCCACTGCTCTGAAGACAGAGTCTAAAGTCCTTACCTTGGTTCAACAGACAGTGTGACTTGGCCCCTTCAGCCTCATCTTCCACCACAACCTGCCTCTCCTACCCCAATGACCCTACTGTGTGCCAACTAGCTACCCAGATCTCTGTGGCTCTCTCTGTCCCCTCCTTCGCCGTCACATGACCAGCACCTCTGCCTCACTTCCTCCTGAAGTCTTTCTTTCTTGATCTTCCAGGTCTGGGTTAGGGTTAGGTGGCCCTCCCGCTGTGCTCTCAGAGCATGGTGCCCTTGGCCCTGTCCCTATAGCAGTGCTTGCTCTTGTACATAGCGGTCTGCCTTCAAGGGGCTTAAGAATGTGCAGGGGCGGGTGAGGAACGGACCAATACACACAGTATGTGGTTATAATACAAGATTAAAGGTTACCTCGTCCAGCCACCTAACTTGGCTTGGCACACAGGTAAATAAATATCGAATCCGCACTGATACCTGTCTCCCAGCTCCTACGCTCGGGTTTGAATGGAAAGCTCAGGGTCAAATCAGTAAACTTAATAGTTTACAGAGAGGAAAAAAGTTAAACAAATTTATATATATATATATAGTGTCATTTTGGTAAATAAAAAGGTGTATGTGTGCATAGAAAAGTACGGAACTACAGTCAATGTTAGCTCTGTGTTACAGTTGCTAGTAAGTTTTATTTTTTCATATGTTTTTTGATAGTCAGAAATTTGCTGTTGCTACAAAATTTCCCTAAAGACAAACAAATACAAACTGAAAAATAAAACAAACCATAGCCACCAACCAGACAGAATGCTCTCCTACTCTAGTTCTAAGTCGAACTACTGGCACTTAATGTAGTAATAAACAAAGCTCTATAGCTCCTTCACAGGTCAGCAAGAGCCTTTGATCCCCTCTAACATTTTCACCATGGCTGAAGTTTGGGGCAATATCGATCAAATTGTAAAATGCATATGCCTTTTGAGCCAACCATTTTACCCTTAAAAGCAATCCCACATACAGTACTTTTATCCTTGAGTAAATTTATGTGTAAAAGGATATTCAAAAAATATAACCGCTGTAAGTATTGTTTGTAATAGCAAAAAGGGAGACAACTTAAATGTCTGTCCGTGGGAGACCAAGTAAGTACATTTCTATGTAGCTGGCGACGTCACCATGAATAAGAAAGTAACAGATTCAGTGTACTTCTATGATGTATCAGTAACTGAAGAAAGCCAGGAGTGGGACAGTATACATGTTACAATCCCACAGGTGTAACACAAAGCCCTGTCCCACCTATACACATGTAAGTTTGTATGGATAAAATATGTCAGGGGATATACACAGTACAACTTTAATAAAGACTGCCTCTGGGGTGTACAAGAGGAAGGCACATTTTATTTTCACTTTGTATTCCATACTTTTTCTTTTTTTTTTTTTTTTTTAGTACCGGGGAACAAACTCAGGACCTTGCACTTGCCAGGCAGGCACAGCACCACTGAACTATATCTGCAGCCCTATTCCACACTTGTAAAGGATTTAGCTATAAATACATTCGTTTTGTAACTTAAAAAAGTTAATAACAAAAATAATGGAAAAATCAAATGCGATGGCTGTTGGGGTAAATTTTATTCTCCCCCGAAAATGTTGAAGGCTTTGCCTCAGCACCTGTAAATGCGACCTTGTTTGGAAATAAAGTGGGCCCTGATCCAATATGCCTGACGTCTGCATGAAAGGGGGAAATCTGGACAGGGATAGGTGAATGAATGCACAGGGAGGATACCATGTGGAGAAGGCGGCAGCAAGACTGGGGTGATGTGTCCATAAGTCAAGGCATACCACAGACTGCTTGCAAAGGTCCCAAAGCTAAGAGAGGCCTGGAGGTAACCAATCCTACCCACACCCTGACCTTAGACTTCTACCTCAAGAACTGCAACATGTTAATACATTTCTGGTGTACAAGCCATTCAGTTCCTGAGACTCTTGTTACAGCAGTCCCAGGAATCTCACAGTGTTGTGCCATGTTTTGCTATATTCCATGGGGCATGTAGTTGGCCTCTGGTGATAGCGAGTGGCTTTCCGGAGTCCACGAACCAAGTGTCACTGCCTGAACCCTCTGCACAGCCATGAGGGCTGCAGCGGGGACTGCCGAAAAGCAGAGTCTGGGCAGTGAGGGGGCATAGTCTCCCCTTCCCCCAGCATGGGCAATCAGAACTATGCACTGACTCAAGACATGGTCCCACCCCTGGCCAGGTGCCGCTCCCACACTGCCTCCCCTGTCCCACTGGTCCCATGGGACCTGCTCTCATGTGCCACAAAGGGTGTGATAGGTAACTGCTAGCTTCCCCTCCCTCAAGCTTCCAAGTGTGGCATCTGAGGAGTCAGAAGCACTGGGCCTCTTTGATGCCACAGCTTACCTCCCTCTGAAGGGCTGGTTTAGAATCAAAGGTTTAAAACAATGAAAATGTGTACAGTATAGAATAGTATCTAGTGAGCGTATCTTGTACTTTTTTCTTAGTTAAAATATTTACTGAATTACCAATCATATGTTGGTAGCTAAGGGGAAAAATATGGACTCTAGATGTATCCACACCTAGATTTATCATGTCTAGATATGTCCACGCCTCCTAGCAATACAGAAGAGAGGCAGATAAACTTTCCCTAACACCTAACAGTTAGTAGATGTGAATAAAATCCCTATTGCAAGTAGATCATCAAAATTTGTTTTAGGGGGCTAGAGGAGTAGCACACTAGTAGAGCACTTGCCTAGCTCTGCAATGTGAGGCCCTGCATTGCATTCCCATCACTGCAAAAACAAAACAAAACACAACAAATAAAATCCCAACCCCCCTCATGTGCAGATGAAAACATATACATGTGCTGACCTTAGGCCACATACTACAAATAACTGAAAACCACCATGGAAATAGACTTACTCAAATTACTTACAGTAAGATAAGGTACTAGCCTACACCTGCTATCAAAAGATGTTTCAAAGGCAGGGAGCTGTATTTATAGATTTCACTGCAGTTTCTGGTTGAGCAAAATGTGTTTAAATTCCTTCTCTGGGATTTTATACCTCAAAGGCAAAAACCCAAGCCAAAGTAAAACAAAACCAGAAAGCACCCCCCCCAACCCGCCCTGCCCCTCGAGCTGCTAAGTGGAACTCTCAGTTGGTAAATAAAAGCCACTTACTTCGTAAGCCTGGGGACTGGTTAGGCACCTGGCAATGGGCCCACAGCAGGCTGGGAGCGTGCTGGTGAGGGGAGGCCCACTGTGCGTCAGCAGAGGCTTCAGGTAGCTGCATGAAGGTTAAGGAAAAGCTGCATTCATCACTGCTCCTCTCCTCCCACATCTCAATGAACCACTCAACTAATGACAGTCACTCTCGCAGGGGACTGACCGCCTTGGTGGCAAACAGCTTTCGCACATGCGAAGTCATCTCACCACCATGTGATGGCAGCGAGACAGCAGAGGACCTTGCTATCATCTCCATTTCACAGTTAGGGACACTAGGGCTCAGAGAGGTCACAGACCCGCCTAAGTCACACAGTTAAGGAAATGGGGTCTGATCTACTAACGCAGACGGGTTTGGTTTCAAATCAAGTGCCCGTTCTACTACATCATATTGCTTTTCTGATTTTACTAAAAACAAAAGAAATACAATATCACTTTCAACTTGGCATTAAAGGAAACGGAGAAAGTACAGAATGAAACTGGTAATGGTCGGAGAGGACATAAATAGTCCAGTAGTAGAATGTAATAACAGAAATAGTTTCAATCACTTCTTAAGGGTTCAGCTGGCCCCCTGAATGCTATAAGTTGAAACTTCACTGTCAGGTTAATTCTTTTCATGTAAAGCTATAATAAGGAAAAAAGGAAAGTCAATTCCCAAAGCATCTAAGTAAACTATATGTCAGGAGCTCCTCTACCGTATACCCTCATTTTAATATTTGCTTATTTTACAATAAATAAAAGCAAATGTGATAATGCATGATACTTAGAAGAAAAAAGAGGGAATTACAAGTAAAAGGAAAGAGATAAGGACACAGATACAACTATCACACTCCCCACATGTTGAAATGAGAACTTGGGCTGTGGTTCCATGGTAGAGGGCTTGCCTGGTATGCAGGAGGCCCCGAGCTCATCCACAGCACCACAAAGAGAGAGGGGCAGAGCGGAACAGGAGGAGAGGGGGAGCGGGGGTAGAGGGGAAGGGAAAAGAGAGAGGAGAAAGACAGAACCTAAGGCTGTCCTTAATTAAAAATAAGAAAGACAACACATTTAATGTATTCTCATATTAATAAATTCTAAGTAAGGTTTAGAGTACTCTATATAAACAAAGTTTATATATATATAT